ATGAACAAATTTGAGCAAAATTGAATAAACTCGAGTCGTTCAAGTCCATTTACTTGAGTCTAATCGCTCTAACATTGCACGCTTGTACAATATAAAAAGACCCACTCAAACAAGATTAATATCCTTATACTTCACTTGAACAACTAGACTCGAGCAACTGGATTTGAATGACTCGAGCTTTTGCTGATTTTCTGATTCAAGTGTTAAAAAGTGAGTTTTATTTTTCTTTTTCCCTTGTATATGCAATATTTCACTTATATTAAAAACACATACAAACATGATATCACTCTAAATACATACAAATGTAATACAAAAAACATTAAGGAGAAGAAAAAAAAAAAAAAAAAAAGAGGAGAAAGGAAGAAATAAAATGAAGTGATTTAAAGGAGAAGGGCAAAATCATTTAGAATTTGCATCATCAAAGGTCTTACAGTCTTACTTACAAAGACAATTAGAGATGAGTTATTTTTTTAATTTGATTCTTAACATAGGGTCATCTTAAATAATTATTTCTTAAATTTGCCCGAATTCATTGTATTGGTAAGGGGGTTTCTAATAGTTTCTGATAGTTGCTGGGTCATCTTGTGGTTAGCAATATATTAGGNTTTTTGGAGGCAAGTTGCAGCTCAAGTTTACTCAAGTTTATTTTGTTAAATCTGCGGTGGTTGTGGAGCAGATATCTTGCCATTTAAATGCAGATTTTGTGTCTTGTTTAGTTGAGACTAAGACTTGGTTAGGTGCTTGGTTTCTGCTAAAGTTAATTTGTAGTAAGTTTATTATATTGCAGTAGGTAATACAGTGCAAAATGTTTTGTATAAATGACTCTGTTTCATGAATGAAAATGTCAGACTGGAAAGTGCCTTTTTGCCGTCTCCTCTCATTGTGAAAACCTTTCATTCTTTATTTGAACTTCTCTTTCATAAACCAACAAAGTTTTCTGAAAAAAGTTAAAAAAAAGTTGAATTGGGCGGGTATTACGATGTAGAATTTATAAATTAATAAAATACCCCCTATATTTGTTTATTTACAAAACACCCCCTATAATAAAATCTTAAAAGTTAACAAAAACACCCCCAACCCAATGTCAAATACGGACAGCCGGCCACCACCGTCGGAGGGTGGCCGGGTTCACCGTATTGGCGCATGACCGGCTGGATCTTGCTGGTCATGCGCCGATATGGCCTTTGCCGGCCAGATCCATAGTGGATCTGGCCGTCAACGGCCAGATCTGGCCGTATTTTCTCGTCAACGACGACCAACAAATGTTGATGGTCAACGACGACGTTTGTTGGCCGTCGTTATAAACTATTACGGCCAAAGATCTAGCCGTCAACGGCCAGATCTTTGGCCTTAGATCTGGCCTTTTTCGGCCAGATCCACCGTGGATCTGACCGGAAAAGGCTAGATCGGTGCACTACCGGCCAGATTCAGCCGGTAGTGTGCCATCCTAATAGATTCCGGCCATTTTTGGCAGTGGTGGCCGGAATCTGGTAAATATGAATTATTGGGGTGTTTTTATAATTTTTAAAAATATATTTAGGGGTATTTAATTAAATTATCAAATTTAAGGGGTTTAAAAAAAGTTGAATAATATTGAGAGTAGTATTCCCAAAAATCAAAGTTTTTGGGTATTTTACTGTTTAACTTTTTTGGGAATACTAAAAGTAGTATTCTAAGAATTGAACCAAACGAAGCCTTATTCATTTGGTTGATTATTTGATTATTTTTAGAATATTATTTTGAAAAAAAAGTAAAATTGGGTTATCAAGAAAGGTAATTATATAATATTTTATGAGATGAATAAAGTAAAATAGGATTTTGAAAATATTGAAACAGATATATTTTTGAATTTTTAGTATATAATAGTAGAACAAGATAGAGATATAATATTGAAACAAACGCCCATATAAGATATACAAAACTAACGTGATAAGCATATAATCTATTTTTATTTATAATTTAAACCCAAAAACATCTTTTAATAATGAAAATGATAATACTAAGGACACAAATAAATATAAATTTTTATTATATAAATGAACATTATTTATTAGAAAACAAAAAATTTCTTCAACTAGAATGGAAAGTCTTATTATAAGATAAATTCATCTGGAAATGAAGATGAATTTATTCATCATTTGTTGCACCGCCATCATCATCTTCTTCTCTAAATTTCTTAATCTCGGAAGGCTGGAGTTCAAGTTCAAGTAGTTGCTTCATATTAACTGGTGCAGTAACATTCATTCCCCCCTCCCAAAATAATTCAGCCAACCTAGAGTTAGCCTTATCTGTAAGATGCGCACCATCAAAATACACATACTCATTAGGGTTTCTGCATAATTCATAATCTCCAATTCCGCAATCGCTTGCATGATATGTCCCACTGCCGCAACAAGCAATGTCTGCTTCTTTAAAACCTTCAAAAACGAAGTTAAATTCATCAGTTAAGTTATTCAATCTTCAGTACGAACGTCCTGAAATTGAAAATGAAGGTGAAAACTTTACCATATTTCAAGGGATTAAATTGTAGATTCATAAGTGTGGTGAAGTAGTCAAAGATTATAAAATTGAATCCAGGTAATTGGATCTCTAATTCTTTAGCGGCAGTAACCAGGGCTTGGTTGTGTTGTCTTGCCAGCGCTTGAGTATCTTTCCAACATTCAGTTTTTGTAAGGTTCTTCAATTGTTTTAAGAGTGGGGTGCAACCAAGGGGTGCAACATTTTGAAATGCAAATTTCCTTCCTCCAAGTGCATATATTTCCTTTTAAACCAAAAAAAAAAAGAAAAAAAAAAAAGAAAAAAAAAAAGAAAACCTCTCAATACAAATTGCTGAAGTATATAAATTACTTGCATTAAATAGTTATTGATCAGAAACTAATATTATAATTACTTTTATCACATTTAAAATGTTTCCGATCACCACTTGTACATAATTTTCCATCTCTGATTCAGTAGCATTAGGATATTGAACGTCAAATGCTTCGTAATCAACACCTCCAATGCTAGATAGATAGACTGCATTCATTAGTATCTGCTCGGCTTCTGAATCCCCAAGCTGTTGTTTCAACAAGCTCACCACCTCCTTGAAATTTCTCAACTGCGCTTCAAGGCTAATCTGGCCACATCCAGAGCATATCAAGCAATTTAAGGGCGAACTTTCTCAACGCATTTCTTTAAACAAAGACTACGACCCTTTCTTTCTTTTTCTTTTTTATTTTTTTCGTATGGTAAATATTTCTCAAAACATGGGGTGTGAATCAAACCCATATTTGAATTGAAATTGGGATACTGCTGCAAGTTCTTCTCTTCTCAATCAGATAGATTCATATCGGAAAGAAGTTGACAATAAGTTCTTTCAAAATTGAGAAGAGTCCATAAATTTAAACCCAGGAATAAGTATTATTTATATTACATACCGCGGTTGGATCGTTATCGGCAATAGCAGAAGCTCCCCCACTTGCAAAGTTGGCTCCATTAATGAATTCATGTTGTCCAGGTGCTAAATATGGTTTCCAATAAGGTAAGTGTGCATACTTGGCTGCAAATTTGTCACATTTATGTTATTCACAAAGTTTTGAGAAAAAGAATATTATACCGCTGAATACTGTTATGGAAATTTTTAATCTTACCAATGAAATCAGGGATCAAACGCCCGTCAGAAAATCTTCCGGTTGGAAACCTGAAGAAGGTCTCTCCATAAGGAGGGTAATTTGCCTTGTGTGTAATACTGCTATTGATGAAGTTATTGTTTCCTGGATCATACAGAGAGTCCCCGAAGACGAAGAGGGCGGCATGTCTTCTAGACTGCAGGGAAGTTGTTGTAGCAAAAATTGCAGCAAAGACTACTAATGAGACACCATAGATGAAGCTTAAACTTGTCATTGCTAAGCAACATCTACTAATTTCAGCTGGGTATCTGTTTCACCTACTTCTTATATTCTGTTCTAATGGCTCACATAATGGGTGGCCTTCAAATATCATCTTTAACAATGGCCTCTCCATCACTACTTTCTGCTATCAATTATTGTTATCAATTATTGAAAAAAGTGAAAATTGAACAAAGTTCTCACCACATTTATATTTTTTTTCAAAATTTTTATGGTTTTTTAACAATTTAATTTCTTAAATAATTGTATTTATATTTAAGTAATTATTTATATATTTAGTCCTAAGTTCACAGCAAACACCTGAGAGTGTGGAGCGTATTTGGTTTGCAGTATTGCACTGTACCAATTGATGAACAGCGGTGTTTTAAGTTTTAGTCAAGGAATTGTTGCAGATTTAGAAGAATGGGACTACATTACTACTTTACTCTGCACTATTTAATAAAAAAAAATATTCTTTTTTTTTTTAAACAAATATCAGTAAATATTAATTAATATAATATTTAAAACTTTAAATAAGTGAAGTATGGTCAGGTGGACTCATTGACTGGGAGTCAACGGCGTTGTTGCCAGGATCCATGACGTTATTGATAGCGATGAGTGCGGTAACGGTGGCGGTGCTTTCGGATAAATCGACCAACGATCTATCCAATAGTGCAAATGAGAAGTCCTCCAACGAAGTCGTTTCACTGGGAAAGGATGAACTATATTCTACCAATCTTTTCCAGCATTTTTCGGCAAAACAATTTTGTCGAAAGACTCCTCGTTAGTTCCGTTGGGTAGATCAACAGTCGATCTACCCAATGATGACGGCGATGTCACCCACATTTAGTATTTTTCATGCTTATAGTGAAGTGTCAATGGTGGGTTATATTTGTCCCACATGGGCTGGATCCACCATCAAAGTTGTATTTGTCGCTTTGGGCAATTGAACTTGAGTTCTATGCAAAACTGACTCATTCATCCTTTATTATCGTCATTATAATGTTGAAAATTCTGACAAGACGATCATGGAATTTTAAAATTAACCAGCAAATAATTACTAAATGAAATATATATTTTATAAAGGTGAATAAATCTTCAAATGAAGCTAAGATGAAACATATAAATGCGGATTCTATTCTATGGATTTATTCATCAGCTAATGCGCCATTGTCATATTCTGAAGCATTTTTAATCTGGATCTCAGCATCAAGCTCAAGTTCAAATAATTGCTTCATATTGAAAGGTGATGAAATGTTGGTTCCTCCGTTCCATAATTGCTCAACCACCTGAGAGTTAACATACTCTGTAAGATGCTCACCGTCCCAATACATATAGGTAGAAGGATCAGAGCATAGATCATAATCACTGATTCCACAGTCAGAGCCCCGATATGTCCCGGTGCCACAACATGCGGATTCCACCACCTTCAACCCTTCAAAACAAATCCCGCCAAAGATAAAAATTTAGAAATAAATTAAAATACTAAATAAGAGGATTTTCTTATTATATCATATCCTCATAATGAGATTCAAACTTTATTTTCCAATCCATATTACAGATGATTTTGACAAATTAATAAATTACGTGAATATTTTTAAAGAATCGATTATCAAAATAATAAAGTGGTTTCTATATAGATATGTTAATAAAATTGGTATAAAATTATAATGAAATATATTTATCATTATATTAAAAAATAATTTTAATATTTATGTTTTTTCTTTTTTCTTTTTTTGTGACCGGAGGTGTCCAAACCAATTACGCGCATCTCAATTAATCTCTTAAGACCTAAAACTAACAGTTGGGTAAAGCTTTAATGACTATCCCTATTATCGTACGAGAAGAGACACGAACTTATGATTTGAGTAATAATTATGTTGGATGCGTTTGTTTCATTATTTCACCACTATCTTGTCCCTATTACAAATACAAATACGCATTTGTTTCCCTATTTCCAAAATCATATCCTAAATTAAAAAGTTAATTTTAAACCCCATAGGTTTGTTAATTGACAAAAACAACCCAACAAAAAAATTTATAAATTAACAAAAACACCCCTATCCATCCATAGTTGCCAGAGTTCAGCAACCACCGTCGATAGTGGCCGGAATCTGTCACAACGGTGCACTACTGACTGAAACTGGCCAGTAATGCACCGATCTGGCCGTTTCCGACCAAATTCACCATGGATTTGGCAAGAAAAGACCAGATCTAGCCATTGTTGTTGTCCGTCAACGATGACCAAGAGTTAGTCATCGCTTACGGCCAAATCTGGCCATAGATCTAGCATTTTCCTACCACATCCGTGATGGATCTAGTCAGAAAAGGCCAAATCGGTGCACAACTGGCCAGATCTGACAGGTCGTGTGTTGTAACGCCAGATTGGGACTAGATTCTGATGGTGGTGGCCGAAATCTGGCAATTATAGATGGGGGGTGTTTTTGTCATTTTACAAAAAATTTATATATTAGGGTATTTGGTGAAATTAGCAAATCAAATGGTTTTTTTAATTAATTTTTAAACTCGTAATAATCACCCAACTCTACCTACTAATAATATTCAAAAATACTACTCAAATAACCAAACAATCGCATCCGTTTTTATCACTAGTTAGAGTTGTCCCGATTCACAAAATTTTTGGTTCAAACATTACCAATATGTAGTAAAATTCGATCGGAATTAGAACTCACCATATTTGGATGGATTATAAGTCATATCAAAAAGTAAGTTGTAGTAATCAAAAATGGAGTATTTGAATCCTGGTAATTGGGTTTCTAGTTGCCTTGTGGCATTGGCAAGGGCATTGTTGAGAAGCAAAGCCAGTTCTGAAATGTCTTGATAGCATTCATCTTCGTTGAGACCGTATGATTGCTTGGTTTCTGGTTGGCAATCCATGAACGCAATGTTTTGGAAGGCAAACTTTCTTCCTCCTGCTTTATGTATTTCCTGAAAAAGAAAAGAAAAATAGTAAACGTTTGGTGAAAACCACAATAAATGAAAAGACAACTACAATAATTATCTCTAAATTTGAATTGAATCGATAAAAATATTCTTTTAAATGTCATATCTACTATGTTGGGAGGTTTTTTACACATATTAGACGAGCTTAACTATAACTTGTTAGAAGTTTATTTGTAATTTAGAAGGTTGCTATGGCGTGCATATATGTGATTGGGTTCCATAATTCAGATTAAGGAGAGACAACTATATTAATTACCTTGAAAACCTCTGTAATGTTTCCAATCACCAAGTTTGTATATTCTTGCTTTTGTGATTGTGTAGCATTTGGTTTTGTAAATTCGAACAGCCAGCAATCGTTGCCTCCAGAACTAAACAAATATACTGCATTTTTGAGTAACTTCTTCGCCTTTGTTTCACCTAGTTGCTGCTTCAATGAACTGGAAACATTCTTGAAATATCTTAACTGCATATGAAGGTTAATCTGACCAAAAAAGGAAAAAAATCAAACCAATCAATTCTCTTGACACGAACCAAAACTGTACAGACGTCTGCAGAAAATAATTATGACTATTGGTATTAATATTAATACATACTGTATTCGGGTCACTTTCAGTAAGAACGCAAGATCCCGCACTGGCAAAATTGGCTCCATTAACGAACTCATGATGTCCAGGTGCTAAATACGGCTTCCAGTAAGGCAAGTTTGCATGCTTGGCTGCGAAAAATGCAATCGAATCAAGCTTTTTTATATAAAATGTGTTACCGTTAACAATAAATAAACAAACTTAATTACCAACAAAATCAGGGATCAAACGGCCATCCGAAAATCTTCCAGTTGGAAACTTGAAGAAGGTCTCCCCATAAGGTGGAAAATTCGCCTTGTAAACAATACTGATATTCAGGAAGTCATTGTTTCCAGGATCGTACACAGAGTCCCCAAACACAAAAAGGGCAGTGTGATTGTTGGACTCGGCGTGGCAGCAGCTTGTTGTGGCGAAAAATAACAAGAGTGAGACGACACAATTATAAAGAAACCCTAAACTTTGCATGGCTGAAACCATATTTCTTTTCAAATGTTTTGTGCACCGATTTTGCCTCTGGTTTCACCTAATTTATATATGCTGAGAGTGTGTTCATCAATGGCAGGGCCTGGCGTACTGAACTTTCAAATCGTTTTTATTATACGTTGACAGAAAGATTTTGATGCAACTATGGCGAAGCTACAATATTAATCCCTTTAATGGCGGGTCGTCAATCTTACTTCTGACCATTAATGATATACATTAAAATATTACAACAAAATAATATTAAAAGGAGGGCCGGCTCAAAACATGAATTGTGGAAATTAATAAAACTTAAAACATGTTTGAAAACCCTTGATTCATTGAGGATCATGATCTTCTTGAGTTGATGCCTGACTGGATGATCTAAGCTACCAGGCAAGTATGGCACCTGCATTGCTGGATGATCTAAGCTGCCAGGCAAGTATGGCACCTGCATTACTGGATGATAAGCTGCCAGGCAAGTAAGTAAAGCCACTCTTCTTCACAACAAAACCTAACCAGTCGGTCAACTCAGGGATGGGAGGAGTTTTAATCCCCGTCCCCAGGGATGGAGCGGGGGTGGGGATTGCACTTCCCCCACACCGTGTGTGTATATATATAAATATATATACTAATACCCCTATATATTTCATCTAATTACACAATTATCCTATCTATATACACCCATATTTTTTTAATTTCCCTCAACCTAAACAATTGAACAAAAAAGAACTCTAACCCTTAAGTCTTAGACTTATCACCATTCACATTTGCCCTTAGCCGAGTTCATATTGCCATTCGTCGACACCGATTTGATCTCTCCGATCTAGCAAAACTTCAAACAAAGGTAAAATTAACTAGGCAGTGACGGACCTCCAACATTCCCCATGGGGGGAGGATGAAGAATTCCTATCATCCCCGTAACGATATATAAGATAGATTTACCAAAACTAAGAATTTAACATATATATAATTGATTGAATGATTTGAAAAGTGATTGACTCTAACTCAAGATCTTTAAACTCAGATACCATGAAATTATTGAATTAAATTGATCCAAATAATGTATTACATTAACCACGGTGGGTTGCCTCTATAGTATGAGACGCAATGGAGATTTTTGGGATGTGCTAGACATATTGGGTTCGAGTCCCCATCTGGACACCCGCGTCCTATCTGAGGGGCTATGGTGGTGGGGTTTTGCAGTTTTCCCTGAGGATTAGGCAGGTTCAGCTTGCAAGTGGACCCAGATATCTTGGTTAACAAAAAAATAATTAATAATAATAATAACGTATAACATTATTGAATTAAATTGATCTAAATTAAATTGAGAATCATAATATGAAGGAGGCCCAATGAGAGGAAAGCTGGAAAATAAACATATTGGGTCTATAGTAAAGCCCAGTCTACAAAGTGAGAAGTGCAAACATTGAAAGACCCTTTATCTTTTTTTCGCATTTGATGGTCAAGCAGATCCTGAATGTCATTACAGCCTGAAAATGGCGACTTTATATCTCCTACTAATCATTTGAACTTCCAATAAGCTTCAATTATTCAATGATTCTAGGACCATATTATATATATATATAGCCAACTTCGAATCATTCCATACCATAAAGATAACACTAACTTTATATTTCTTATAAAATCTCAAATGATGTTTCCATTATATATATATAGGCACCCCTCAAAAGCAAGCACATACTTTGAACTAATCTATATACATATAATTGCAAAACCCATGTGCAAAGTCTGCTTTCCCAGTTGCTCCACCACCCCTGCACTCATGAATTATATCATAGAAAAAAAAAAAAAAACACCTCTGAAACCTAGAAAAAAGTTGCAGGAAGCCATGGAACATCTTCTTGCAATCATTTCTTCATTTCATTTCCAATAATTTTTACCCACTAAAAGACATACCCTTTTTAGCTCACTTGAGGCTTTACTTTTATGAAAGGCTATATATGGGCACAAATTTGGAAGCCATCCCATGGCTCTCTTTTTTTACTAGACTAGACGTGTTCTTGGAATCCACTATCTTTTTGAATCAAGACACTTGTAAAAGTAAGTCCTAGAGATTACCCAGGCTCTGTTGCCAGCAGAAATCAAGCATGTTTTTGTGTAACATATATGGATAGATTGATAGATAAATATATAGAAGTTTTGTTTGCTAAAGAAAGTATATGGGAAAAATGACATTTTCATCCCTAAGGTTAAGCGGACATCATTGGGATCCAGTAAAATTTTTTAGTAACACTATAACTGTGACGGAAAAAAGTAGCAATAATAAAATAGTATACAGAAAATTCAATAATATTGGGAAAATGTTACTATCTATAATCTCTTTTCACAAACTTCTTCTCACAACCCTGACGTGACAGCTCGTAATGAATCCCACATAAGTCCCACCTGATAAATTACGATTAACAAATTACGATCTTCCACGTCAGGATTGTGAGAGAAAATTTGTGAGATGAGGTTGTAGGTGTAATATTACTCATAATACTAATGTAAAATATAAAAAAGTAAAAAATCTGTCATTCTATGTTACCATCAACCACACAAACATAAAACCACCAAAAATTATATTAGGAATCTCATCAAACCCTATATTATATTACAAATTTTAAAATTTTAAAAATTTTATCTGTATTAAAGGACTCAAATACCCTTATACCATTTTAATATGAGGTAAGTCAGTCAATCAGGAGTAGTTAGAGATCACAATGTTATTAGAAAAATTCTATTGGATCAAGTGGGAGCAAAGCCAAACCTTAGGGATGAAATTGTTATTGTGTCAATGTAAATGAAGACCAATTCTTGAAAATTGGCCCACGCACATGGAGTTACATTATTGAGCTTGTGCATGCCTTAATGAACATGACCACTTTTATGTAATGAGATTTTTTTTTTTAATTATTAATTATTTTTAGTTTTCATTTAAAATCATTTAATTTTGTCTCATTTATTTATTTGTGGCATAATGCCTCCTCTCAGGTTTCCCCATTTATCATTTCATTCTTCACTAGCTGTACAAGATTCCCTTCCTCTTGTTTTCCCTTTGCCATGAAAAACCATTCATCCTTTTACCATAATTGAACATTCCCATCATCAATGTCACTCTTACCATAATTTATTTTCAGAGAATTGATGTTCGGAGAAGGAACGAATCTTTTATAGAAGTGACGTATAGTATAACCAAAATGTTAGATGTTGAGATTTGCATCAACGAAAAATACATAGCAGTTTGTATAAAACCCGTGATCTTGATGCCGGATCGATGAATGTATGAGAAATTGAACAATGACACAAGGAAATGATTCGGATGCTAACTGCAAATCCTACTTCTACTATTATTGTATTGTTTTCAGTGTTTTTCTCTATGCACAAGCACAACTTACAAATTGTTAATTAAAAATCAGATCCTTAATTTGAATGAAAAGTAAGTTTATATATTGTTATAATGACAAACTTATAAATAACATTAATCTAAAATAATGATATGTGACGTGAATTCATGCTTTAAGAATTGATAGCACAACATAATCGATCATGGTACGAGAGTATGTCACACGCATTGCATATCATAATTAGTTGATCGTAGGCACATCATGGCAAGGAATTTTTTTTTTTTTTTAACGTGGAGATGAAGATAAAATATTCCTTAAAGCTAAAAGTCAAGGGGAATTGGTTAATTTCTATGTGATAATTATCCTTATATATAGTTTGTTTGATTATAGTAGTGTACTATATTCATCATTACTAACTTATAAATCAAGCCATTGTTGATGTTGATATTTGCATCAATGAAAAATACATATCAGTTTGTATAAAACTCGTGATTTTGATGTTGGACCGATGAACGTATGAAAAATTGAATAATATCACAAGAAAATAATTTTTAAATTGATTCGGATACTAAATTTAAATCTTACGTCTACTATTATTGTATTGTTTTTTGTGTTTTTTCTATATACAAACATGACTCACAAAGTGTTAATTAAAAATCAGATTCTTAATCAGAATAAAAAACAAGTTTATATATTATTACAATAACAAATTTATAAAATAAATTAACCTAAAATAAAACACGTGACATGAATTCATGATTTAGGAATTTACCGCTTAATACAATTGATCATGATACGAGTACGTCATAATTATTAATCGTACAGGACTTTTTTTTTTTTTTTTTTTTTTAACGTGGAGACGAAGAAAAATTATTCCTTAGAACTAAAAGTCATGGGGAATTGGTTGATTTTAGCCTTATATATAGTTTGTTTGATTATAGTAGTGTACAATATTCATCATTACTAACTTATAAATCAAGCTGCAATGGACGGGCGTCCTCTAAATCAGGACGCCTGTCCATAGTAAATGGACCCCGTCCATATAATATGGACGGGGGACCATATGAGTGAACGGTCGTCCATATGTTATGGACGGCCGTTCATTAGATCAAATTTAATAACGCCAAAACACGTTGGATGATTTGGATGGTTGAGTCAGCACACACGTCAGCCGGTACAAAATTTCGGTGTAAAAACACCGGTGTCTGTAGCATTGCTGAACAAAATACTTGTTTGTTTAATTATTTGGGAAATACTATTCTATTTTTTTAATTACTTTTAGACCCCTTAAGTTTATTAACTTAATTAAACACCCATAGAAAAAAAAGTTTAAAAATTAATAAAAACAACCCCACCCACCCATAATTGCCAGATTCCGGCAACCACCATCAGTGGTGGCCGGAATCTGTTACAACAGCCTAAAAACGACTAGAAATGGCCGTTTATTTATCGATCTGGCCTTTTCGACCAGATCCGCAGTGGATCTGACCGTCAACGACGACCATAGAAATGGCCGTCGTTGACGGTCAACGACTGGTAGATCTGGCCTTTTGCTGCCGTCAACGACCAGATCTGGCCAAAAAAAGCCAGATCGACACACCATCGGCCAGATTCGACCAGTCTGAGTCGTAACGGCAGATTCCGACCAGATTCCGACGGTGGTGTTCGAAATCTTGCACTGTGGTGGTGGGGGTGTTTTTGTCATTTTACAAATTGGATGTTTTGTAATTATTAATAAAGCCAAAGATATTTTCGTCCACATTGTCTACTGTTTTGGGGCAAAATTGAACAGAAATTTGGATTACCGAAGTAATATTTTAATACCACCCTCCCCCTAGGTAATATTATTCTCGGNTCTTGAAGC